CCGCCATAACACTACAACACTACCAACAACAAAGTCACTGCCAACAAATCACTACACCCCCACCTAGATCCACTGCACCACCATCACCATCTCGATCGCACCGTCACACCACCACCAACAGAAACGTACCACCGCCGCCATAGAAAACACACAACCACCACAGAAACGAACCACCACCACCATTTTGCAACCCACCAATAACCTGCACCACTAAACAACCACTATCGCCTCAACACCACAACCACCAGAATGCTGCGAGCGAGGCTGCTCACATCGCCGCCATCTTCTGTGAGAAGGAAAACTTTGTACGGCGGCGCACAAACCCACCATCACCGCACCACCAACGCTACCACGTGAACCATCGGCCACTACAAATCGGTGAAAATTTCAAATCGACGCACGTATCGCCGCTCACTATGCACTGCTCATTACCAAAAGAAGAAGACGATACCGTCAGAAAATTTCAGATTTTCGCTCACTGAGCACCGCTCATTGCTAGAAAATCTCAGATCTCCGCGCGACAGTGACGACTCACGACGGCACTTAGTTCGCCGATGCCGCTTCCGCCGGTGAAGAGGAAGAGAGAGTGAAAGATGAGAGAAACGAGAGAGAGAGAGAGACGGATGAAGATGAGAATGAGAGAGTGTGATTTAGGATTAATATAATTAATAATTTAATTAATACTTGAGTTTTGATTAAATAAAGTTCACACCTGAATTTTGAATTTGTAAAGTTAAATGTCTGATTTTTTGTCATTTCCTCTAATCTTATTAGGATTGGTAAACCCAACCTAATAGGCGTAAAGTCAATAAATCCAATTAATTCACTACGACCCCCAATGGTTAGTCCAGCCCAACAATTGAGCCTAGTACATTAATCCAATTGAGGTCTTACAAATTTTTAGATCAACAATAACAATAATGCAAAATCTGTTAGGTAAGAGTAAAGGTAGAAAATATATCAAGGAAAAAAAACATCAAAACAAAACAAAAAGCTTAATTCATCAAGGCACCACAATGTGAAAAGTTGAACCCGATTTCTTAGATTGGGAAATTAATTGGACGGTGCTGCTGCTTCTCCTGTGATTGTTCATTAGGTGGACCGTCAATACCCATTTCTATTTCGTCATGTGTTTGTGACGATTGTTCTAATGCTTGCAATTTGAAGTCATCACCAAGCAAATTTTGGTAACCATCGACTTTTATATGTCTCAGTTCTCATAATATTTGGATTCTGTTTCGTAATTTTTTACGCTACAATAAAAATAGTCTTTTTCAAATGTTCAAAAAAGGTTGTTGAAAACATTTTGCAACGTTTGGACGTATGTTGCAAATCTCGATGTTGTCGTAGAGTAGAAGGATATGACAACGTTTTTTGAATGTGTTTAGTAGAAGGATACGGCAACGTTTAGTAGTTCGATTGCTTGTTTATGTTTTCAACAATCTATCATATGTTTATCTTGTAATTATGTTCGATTGCTAAGAATCATTTCAATAATTATCACTTTTCCTCCAAACTCTTTATTGGAATTGCTTCTTTGCATTTCTTCAATATTTTAACACCGTCTTCATCGTTCCAATCCTGCAATATCCACTGTTTTTGTTGAATATAAAATTTAAATAAGTAAATGTGTATTATCTCGAACAAGTTAAACTTTTAAATGATGTAGTTCAACATAATATTGGACTGCTCAAAATTATACTAAATTAACATGTTTGATGATGTAATTATCAAGTTAATAAGTAATATTAATAAAGAACGATAAAAGAAGTTAATTTATGGATTGAATACTAAACATTGTCTCTCTATGTATAATTTGGCCTCTCATCCGACTCATGTGAGTTACACGTTGGAAATTGGTTTAAAAATGTAGATTCTAATCAATTTTGACCAATTACTTGAGCACAATCAAATAGTCAAATACAAGAGTTTAAAGTTCAAATGTGTACTATTCCGCGAGTATATTATAAAATTTTATTTAATTGCTCGAAACTAATTTCGTGTGCATGAGAATTTAAGGTGAATGTATTCACTTAAAACATGAAACTTGTAGAAAAATAAATTAGAATATTATGGAATATTCTAGAATCTATTTGATTAAGCAGAAGGAATGAACTCAAACATGTCACCCCCAACATAGCTCAAGTTCTTAGTCCCTTACAAGCCGGCAACAACATGTGGAAGATCAGGCACAGTGCATTTCAAGTTTGGGAATGCATCAACAATAACCTCGGACACAGTTCCTGTTCCACCGCCCACATCTACAATTGAATTCAGACCTTCGAATAAATGTTTACAATCACTAATAAGCACACTAGCCACCAACTTTGCATCACTAGCCATTGCTTCATTGAAGAAGTTATTCAACCTTGGCTCCTGTCCAGCATACTCCCAAAACGTCTTCCCATGTTTAGTATCAAATGGCGTGGGATTCTCATTTTCAAACCATTCACTAGATGATGCCATGGCTCTGTCAAAACCGGATCTGGCAAGGCTAGTAAAAATGGTGTCACGCTCAACGGCTCATCTTTTAAGAGGAGACGAGAAGCTGATGTAAGCCAATATCCCATATTTTCGGGATCGTTGTTGGAGATTGTGGCTTCGATGAAGTACCTGTACCCCAAATTCATTAAAATTCGCATTAGGCGGGAGACGCCTTGAGATTTTGCTTTGTTGATGGGGAGGGCATCGACTAATTCCTCCAGTGTCATTGGTTTTCCATGCTTGTGGATGATATCCGGTATGCCTAACTGAGTTGCACACTCGAGAGACATTGAGTTTATGAAGTTCAGTATGTGATTCCATACATGAGCTTGAGCATGAAGAAGCTCAGTAGATTGTTCTCCATTATGCCATGCCATTTCTTGATCAATTTGAAAATTATAAGAAAACTTGTGTGGTTGATGACACTAGAATTGGCTTGCTATAAATACATACAAAAACATGTTGCGTGTAAGATAAAATGTTGGTTCCAAAGTTCACAAAGAACACA